CATGTGTGGTGAGTTGTTGAATAATGCCTTGTGTTTGCTTTTGTCACCTAGAACTTGCCCGGCTGGTCTTGAAATGTTGGTCTTGATCTAGTTTTGTTGGAGAAATGATCTTAGGCTTTCTTTGATGTTCTTGAAGTTCACTTGGCCTAAGAATCCCACCTTTGCATAGATATATCCTTAGTTGTCCCCTTTGAGCCTAATCCTTGTTATTGACAACCACATTACAAGCCTTATCCTTTTTGAAAAAGTAACCCTCTTTTGAACCCTTCCCTCCTTGAACTTGAGGTTGTGAAAGTTAAGGCTAAAAGCTTAAGTTGGCGGGGTTATGGAAAATTCATTGAAGGGATGAAGCCTCATGAGGGATTGATATAAAAAAAAAGGAAAAAAATAGAAGAGAGAAATAAAGGGATGTCTGGAAAGTCTTAAAGAAAGAAAAACCGTTGAAAAAGAAAGAAAGAAAGAAAATGAATTAATGAGACTTGAATCCTCCAAAAGTTGAAAAAATTGTGGCATATTGGGCATCTAGAGTGGAAATAAGAAAGACTACTTATACCTAAATGATATCCTAACCTTCCCTAAGCCTATATTACAAGCTTAACAAAGTCCTTTGAGATTTCTAACCAAATGGAGTGTTGAGTATTGTTGATTGAAAATATGGGCAAGCTTATGGTGTGACATTTGTGTGCATGAGATGATTCTTTGTGAGTGTGAGTCTTGCATCTTTGTCCCTTGTCTTGTTTATTTGTGTGTATGGTCTTGGGACACTTCTTTCATTTGAGGGCATGTACGTTGAAAAAAGTGGTGATTTTGAAAATTCCTAATTGAGTCAAGTGCATGTGAAATATTTCTTCACGAAAACCAGAAAATAAATAGTGTCTCCTTTCTCCTTCCAGTACAGTGAACCCATACGCCTAGACGATCACGTCAACATCAGTAGCAGCACCAAACACCACCAGTGTCTGCCGTCCTCCTTTTCTGCAGCAGTCGCGTCCCCATCCCCCTTTTCAGAAATTGCCCATCCCTTTTACTGTTTCCTTGAAAAAGAGCATATGAATTCAAAATTCCATCCCCCTAAATCGCCCCAATTTTCCCCAGAAATAGTTCTCTATGCTCAAGTGATTTGGGGGCATGTTTTTTAAGTTGGATTTTGAGGGTAAGAATTTACAGAGAAAAAGAATTGCAAAGCTATAAAAGACATAAGAAATACCTATTAGTTAGATATATTTTCTCCTTCTTGTTCGTGGGTTGCGGGGGATTTGCCGAATTTCTCGAAACTCTCATTGTGGTGGTTATATCGCTCGTCTCAGCTCGTCGCTGTCCCAGTACGCTGCATTTCAAAAGGTAATATTTGTTTCTGTTCGTGTCTTTGGTTTCCTGATGTGCTGGCAGTTTGATTCTGTTGTATGAGGCGTCTAAATGTTAGAATGTTGAATTTGTTTCGACTTATTGTTGATTGCAAAGCATTGATATAAGCTCTTTTGTCGGTTCAAGTATCTTTTTTTGGGTTGTTTTGCTCGAAGTCTTAATGTTTTCCGTAAGGCGTTGAGTTGGTTTTCTTCCTTTTCTTCTTGTTTCACTGTTGTTTCGTTTGGTTGACTACGAAGTTATGAGTCAGTCATGTAGTTTGGAATCACCTTCTATAGGTGATTTCGTTTGCTTTATTCGATATATGAAGGTTGTCTTCATTCTCTTGTTACTTCAAATAGGGTAATCGCATGAGTTGAATGCTTTACTGCCTCACCCTCTGTTCTTAAGGTTAGATGTTGGAATCTATATTAGTTGTTAGCTTTCTAAATTTTACAGAGTTTTGCTTGTATGTTTCGCCTTGAATCATGCTAAAAGTTGAAGATTTCTTGTCTATATCCGAGTTGGTCTCGACTGCCCCTCCTTTTTCCCCCTTTCTTCGCAGTGGCTTGGGGTATATTGTCCCATTATCTGACATGCCTTGTTTTGATCGAATCTGTGCCTCCTTTTTTCCTATTTTAGTCAGAAATTGCTTGTTATTCGTATTTGATTAATACAAAGAGATTCTCTCTATAGCCTTCCCGGTCTTAGCTTATCTTAGTTTGCATTTTCCTTTAGTTGGATTGCCTATTTCCTCTAATTTCCTCTGTTGTGCTTATAATTTTGATGATAAGCTATGTGCAATTGATGAAATATAATGCAATTTGGACCTTTCCAGTTAGTTATTTTGCTCCCTGCCGTTGATCCTAACCTGTGATGTCAATTGTGTTTCTTTCTTTTGTGTGATCTCAAGTTATATAATGTGTATGCTTCACATGTTGTGACAAGAATATAAATGGTTAAATTACTACATGTTTTTTGGATTGTCTGGTTTTCTTTTAAGGCATTAGAAGTGAGTTGATTGGGGATAGTTACATGTTCTTATTCTTGCCCATCATTTGAATCTTAAGGACATTGCGATTATTTAGAAAATGTCTTCTCCTTCATTATTCTGCTATAAGCTTCTATGTCATTCTAGTTTAGTTTCTGGAATTAAGAGCTTAGCAAGGTGTAGCTTAATATGTAATGTTAATGGATAGTTGGCTCTATATAAATCTATTACTTTGTTGGTTCATTTGTGAAGTTGGCTAGTTTTAATAGTATAGGTATAAATCTTTGAGTTTCATCTTTGATCAATTTTATTTATTTATTTGTGTCCAGATTTTAATTTAGGATTGGGTTTTCTTTTCAAGTTGCTAATTCATTTTTTTTTGTTGCGAGCTTACGACTACGAAGTCCACTGGATTTCTATCCTTGCATATCCGTTGGGCCTTGAAGGCCCAATTTTATTTTTTCTCTAGTCAGTCCATATTATTTTGTCGAAAAGATGCTGATTTTTCAGTTGTTAATTTGCTATAAAAAAAACATAAAAAAAACGTGATTTAATTATTTTTAGTGGTATAGTTATTTCTGAGTTTGTAATATTTTAATTTTAACTTGTTAATTTTTTTTATTTACCATTTAAAATTTAAAAACTTTGAGTTAGTTATTATTTAAAAGGAAAAAAAGAAAATTCATATGAAAATACCTATGAACAGTAAAGTGTGGTACACCAATCATTAGACATATAAAAATAAGAGAAAGTATACCAATCACACGCAGAATATAATACTTCATTATCTATTTGTTTTAGTTCCCAAGTAAAAAAATATTCTCACAAAATTACCCTATTTTTCATATAAATATATATTATTTGATAATAATTTTGTTTGGTAATTACCCATTTATATATCATTAGATTTTCCTTTCGAAAGTTAATTCAACGCAGAAATCATTATAAGAAAATTAGAAAAATTTAAAAGATTATAACATGATGATCATTAAAATATTTATGTGATATTAAAAAAAGTATTGTGATTTATCTTACCCAAAAGGCAAACTTTGTCATTAAAGTTGTATCCAATATATGTGAATTACATTTTAAATTATTAAATTCGATTCGAATCTAATATTTAAAAATAAATAGGAAGTACCGTCGGATCCATGTCGACTCGGCTACAAAATGGTTTGATTGTTCTTCGATTCTTCTAGCGCTAAGAAGAAAAATGAATGAATTTGATGATTGTAAAAACAGAGTGCTTTGATTGAGAGTATTTTTTTCTTTAGAGAAAGTGAGTTAATGTAAATTTAAAGAATTTTTGTAGTTATAGTTAAAATGTGGGAGCTTTTTATTTTTATTTTAAAAAGGGTACAATTATATTTTATAATTAATTTAATTGACTATTTTGAAAAACAATAAAACTTATCCGGATATTTCAATTTAAACTGTCTTATATATTGAGTTCAAAATTGAAATTAAATGTTTGAAAATTTTACGACATTATCTAGATATTTTAAATACAAAAATTCAATTGAAAAAAAATAGGAAACTTCAACTGCTTTTATTACCATAGTGGTCATTATTTTCATTACTCCCATAATTTTATTACCATAATCTCTAAATAATTAACAGTCATATCCTTGACATTATTTGTTATTCATTTTATTGTCCTTTAAATAAAAGCATTGTAAGACTTTGGACAAAATAATCACATTAGCCTTTTAGATTGTTATGTTTCTGGTACTTATTTTATTCATTCTTTAATTTGACTCGAAGAATAAAACTATTGAATGGTGATCGACATGTGGAAATGAATGTCGACAAGAGTTCGGAAGATTGTGTATTAATTTCATATTCTTTTATTTTTATTTTTATTTTTAATGATTAAGATTGTAAGTAGGGTAAAAATAATGTTGCATTTTTTTTATAGTTCTCTTTATGATTTCTCTTTATTTTTTATTTTATATAAAAAAATTATTGTCGTAAATTTAATTATATTTTTTTTTGTTCAAAAGAGTAATTTATTAGTTTGTTGAAAGTTATCCAACAACTAACCAAATATTTTTCTATATGAAATCAATTATATGTCTGAATAAATATATAATGCAATCATATCAATTTTTTATAACCGCGCGAAACGCGGATGAGTTCACTAGTTAATATGTAAGAGATAACAAATTGTTACTAACAAGTGTTGTGGTGGAGTGGTAAGTATTCTTTTATCTTTAACCTAGAGGTCGGAAATTCGGACTCTAATGTTGCACATAATTTAGTCGGACTTTAATGTTTTTAAAATTAATGTGGTTTTAATTATTTAAACTTCATTCTTACCAATATAAAAAATCTAATCATTATCTCAAAAATAGATTAATAAAAAATAAACAAATTAAAATTATAATTTTGAAGAGAGAAAAACAAATCATTTTTAATTGAAATGAAAATAATATTTAAAAGGCAAAATGGTTTGATGGACCCTTATACTTGTTCGAGTTTGTATTATGGACCCTTCTACTTAACTCTTTACCAACTAAACCCTTAAACTCAATTAAAACAAGATTTTTAAACCCCTCCTACCATGTGTGTAATTCACTCGCCATAAATAGATGAAATGTCAAATCCATGTCACATAAATCAATAACATGTCATAATTATCTCTATAAACTATTTTTTTTAATTATTAATAAAAAATATTAAATAAAAAGAAAAATAATAAAATTTCCACACACCAAATCAGCCGCCCCTGTTCTTCTCCCCAACCCATTCCCACCGTGAAATAGCCTGAAGCCACCAGATCAAAAAGCCACTGCTACCGCTCTTCTTGCCCGCGAGACAATCTATTCTCTCTCTCAAACCTGTCTCCATCTCCACCGCACACTCTCATCATTTTCCGTTCCTCCTTTTCCAATCTCCACAAAATCAGCAACCCTAGGTCTCCACACTACCAACTTTGGCCGGCAAACCTTTTTCGCCGCTGTGACCAACTCCTCGCACCCTCACCTGTCCCACTCTCCTTTCCAATGTCTTCCTTTCACCGCACCACCGGCGACCACTTGCGCACCAGACTGTCTCTCCTCTCCATTCTCTCCAGCCACCAACGAACCTCCATGCCACCTCCTATTCTAGCGAAAAAGGGTAATGCCAAGATCTGCTAGAGTGTAGGGAAGAAAGAAAAAAAGGGATATGGCAGGGATTGGGTTATTTGAAAAAGAAGGTGAAATGGAGAAGAAGAAGATTTTTTTTAAATAAATTTATTATATTATTCTATTATAATTTTAACAACTCTTTTTTAATTAAAATATGATGTTCACGTGTGTGATTACACTCCTGCCAACTCATCCATTTTAATGCCGCATATGTTTGGTCAACGGTTAGAGGAGTTTGATATATTATGTATTATGGAGTTTAAGGATTCAGTTGATAAAACATCAAGTAGAAGGATTCATAATAAAAAGGCCTAACCCATCGGTGGCCCTTTGAATTTGGCACGATGTTTATTTTAGACACCTCATGTACGGTACTGCTATATCATTTTGACACTCTTTTTCCTATCAACAAAAATATATGAAGTGTGTGTGTTACACTCGCGAATGACGTGTAAAGTGACAAATTAAACGATGACATTTGTCATTTGTGTCAAAAACAATTCTTAAATAATAAATTTTGAGTAAAAATAAAAAGTAACCAATGAATCAGTGACATATAGATTTTTGCCCAAATAATTTTTTTTTAAAAATTAGCCAATAAAATTCCCTCACCCACCCCCACAGTCTTCTTCTCCAAACACCCCAGTCCATTTGCAAAAATACCCCCCACCCATTTTCCAGAAATATCTGCACACACCCCGTTCTCCCGCCCCCCAAGGCGATTTTCTTCTCCAAATACTTGAAAAACATATGAGAAACATGCCAACCTACACACTGCTCCTTTATTAGTGTTTTTTTAAAATATCTTTTTGTTTCTTTTTTCCCCTAATTAGCAGATTCACAAAAATAAAAATAAAAATTACCTCTATGTAAATATTCAATCCTTTTGGGAAAGATTCTCATAAATTAATTTACTAAGTAAATCTTGAAATGGGTACATTTCTAAATTTCTAAAACAATTTCTATCATTTTTCAATTGTTTATGGTAACTGTTTTGATTCACCATAGTTGGATGTTTAAGTTTCAGAAATGGTGGCTGAAAATGGAAAAGAAGAAGAGAATTTTTTTAAAAAGTCAACTAAAAAGGTTTTTCACGCACGGTCAATGAGTGTATTACACTCACTAAGCCATGTAAGCAAAAAGTGTTAAAATGAAATAACGATATCCTACATGAGGTGTCTAATATGAACTCCAGTTAAGGTGTCTAAGTGAAATTTTGTGTCAAATTTAAGGGGCTACCGATGGGTTAGGCCTAA